CCCCCCTCCCCTTGCAGGAGGCTGGGGGCCACGATGGGCGGTGGGTGTGTGCGCCTGACTGGCCAAGGAGCAGGAGGAGGGGGAAGAGGAGGAGGAGAAGGAGGAGGAGGAGGAGGAGGAGGAGGAGAAGCAGGATGAGGAGGAGGCGGAGGCGGAGGCGGATGAGGAGGAGGAGGAAACACGCGGTCCACAGTTGCTGTGCGGCCCCCCCGAACGGCGACTCCTCTGAGCCAGAGCGCGGGGGGTCTCCCAGACACCTGCAGCCCTGGGTCGCCACGCTCTCCCTTCGCCGCTCTCTCACTCCGCGCGGAGTCTGCAGCGCCCTGGCTCACCACGGCTCGGTTTGGGGAGGCCTGCGATAATCAGCACGCGGGGGGGGGCCCGGTCCACGGACGGGGAGAGGCCACGTGGCGTGGCGGGCCCCCAAGCGTCTAGGGGCGGCAGCGTCGCAGGATGCGTCCCAGGGGCTGAGCCCTGCCCGGGAACGGTTCTTCGACGCTCTCGCGCGCGGTCCGTCTCCCCGCGCCCCTCGACTGTCATGTTCGCGCAGTGGCGTCGCGCAGTTCCGTGCATTTTCTGCCGTCAGGGCGGGGAAGAGAGTGCACGAAGCAGTTGCGTCTGGTCTCCCGCGGGGGTGGTGCAGTGCTCTGTCCTGACGCGATTCTGTTTTGTCAGTCGCGTTCTGCCGCTGAGCCCCAACATTTACGCAATTCCCTCGCAGCCACGCGTCTGGCAGGACTTTGGCCGGATCCTGACCGCCATGGAGTCCCACGGTGCGGACACCTACTGGCACGTGCGCAAGGGCACCGGGATCTACGGCGACGACTTCCCCGACCAGGCGATCCCGGTGCAGTCACAGGGGGTGGATTGGGGATCGCTCCTCCCGCCCCCCCTCATTCCTCCTCCGCCTCCTCCTCCCTGCTCCCTCCCTGCTTCCTCCTGCTTCTTCCTGCCTGCCTGTGTGTGTGCGGCTCGTGGCATGCGGGTGAAGTCGTGGCGGTGTGTCTGCCCTGCCCAGTCCCCCCCCCCCTGTTCCGTGTGTATCCCATGCGGTGTCGCTTGGGCTGCCGGGGGCCGAAAACATGTCCGTATCCACGGCCTCGCGGGCTGGGCCCTTGGGCTGGCACCCCGTGGATCTGATACGTTCTTTCGCGCATGCACCGCGCGGAACGTCTCCAGGTGACCGCGTATCCACGGGCTCGCGCCCCAGAATCCAGACCGCGAGAGAGTGGATCTATATTCCTCTTCCTATATTTTTATAAGCCTGGGCGGGGGGAAAACCCGCCCCCCCCCCCCCTAGAACCGGACCCCCGGGATCTGTAGCTTTGGGACCCTCCGGACGGGCCTCGAAGCGGCCCCCTGGGCCTCGCAGGGCGTTTTGCCAAGCCTTCGCAGCACACCCAGGGCTATCAGGGGGGTCACCAGAGACGTCCCAGAGACCCCTCAGACAGCCCAAGAGCGCTCCAAGAAACTGTCATACCCCGAAAGATCGCTCCAAAACGTACCAAGAGGCCTCCGAGAGCACTCCCAAGAAGGCCCCAAGAGGGACAAACCATTGATTCTATGTAGGTTTTTGGTGCATTTGGGGTTCTCCTCTTTTCGGCTTCCCGACGCTCCAAGATGGCGGTCTTCTGGGCGTCCGAAGCCGCCTGGGAGGCTCCAAAATCGGCCCACAACCATCCGAAAGGGCTTCCGGGCAGTCCAAGAGAGCCCCAAAACGGCACAACAGGGGTCCAAAATGGCCCTAAGAGAGCACCATGGCGGCCCAAGATGGCCCCAAGACACCCTCCGAACTCCGAATCATTGCAAATCGTGACCCGGTCGTTCAGGGAGACCGCGGTTAGAGGCAGGTTGGCCTTAGGAAGCCCCAGAGGCCCCCAGAACACACCCAGGAGGTCTCCAGAAGGATTTAAGAAAGCCTGAGAACTTCGGTGAGGCCCCCAGAGGCTCTCCAAGGAGGAGCCTCCGCAAAAAGAGCTGAGGAGGATGGGGAGAATGCCCAGGGTATGGCGAGAATGAAGAAAAATAAGCATGGAGGAAGGACAACTAACAACATTATTATAACGGCGATGGCAGCAAGGAGTTATCGCTAAATTGTCGGCTTGACCTTCCTGCCATTTCCGCCTGCATGCCAAACTCCATGGCGCGAAGCGCTGCTGCAGTCTTGCATATTCCTATTATTATATTTTTATTACCTGGACCCCCCCCCCCCGGACCCCCCCCCCCCCCCCTAAACCGGATCCCCCCCCCAGGGACGCTCCGGACGCCCTTTTCGGACGTCTCGGCGGCCCCCTGGACGCCCTTGGAAAAGGTTCGGTGGCCCTTCCGGGCCTCCCAGGGCGCCTCGCTGGGCTTTGCGAGCCGACTGAAGGCGATTAGAGGGGTCGTCGGAGATGCGCAAGAGAGACCCAAGACAGCACAAAAGTGCTCCAAGAGGAACCTCGATGGTCTGAAGACGGCCCAAGAGGCCCCCAAGACACCCCAAGAGGCCGTTGAGAGAGCCCCGAAGAAGCCAAAATCGTCACATTCCCTCAGGAAATACATTTGTTGTAGATCCGCTTTGGGGGTCTTCGCAGCGTCCAAGACGGCCCAATGGGCCCCCAATCTCGCCCCAAGACGGCCCGGGGGGCCCCCTAGAGGGTTTCAAGGCGGCCCAAGGGGGCCCCAAGACTGCCCCAGAGAGCCCCGAGACTGCCCACAAGAAGCCCAAGATGCCCCCAGAAGGCTCCCAAGAGAGACCCACGAAAGCCATGGGAGACCTCCAAGAACGCCACTGGAGGCCCGCAAGAGGGCCCTAGATGGCTTCAGAAGACCTCTGGAGGGCCCCAGCTCCCCAAGGCGGCCCAAGAGTGCCCCAGGACGGCCCAAGAGTGCCCCAGGACGGCACAAAAGAGCACCAAAAACGACCAGACGGCGTTCTCCTACGAAATACATGCAGCTGACCCGACGATCTTGGTTCCACGCTTGAGGCTCGAGGTTTCCGTAGCTCCCCGATCGATAGAGACAGGCAATTGATCTAGATTCGAAATTCGACGATCGAAGATTTCCTGAGTGCATGGGGCCCTCCAGGCATTCGGGAAGCGATCAGAAATCGATGTGTTCGGAGCTACTGGGACTTCTTCGGCGTGTCATGGGAACGCTCCTTACTTCCTCAAATGACCTTCGCGCGCGAAAACATCAGCATGATTTCCCCACTCCTGCGCACAAGCGTGCCAGCGCATCGTCCGAAAGCGGTGTCAGCAGGCACCCGGGATATCGGAAACAAGGGCGGGTCGCCCGTCCAGGCCTCGAGGACTTCCCTGCTGAAGAAAGCGATGATTTACCGGAACAAGGCGCATGGCGCGAAGCGCCAATGCAGTCTTGTATATATATATATATATATATATATATGTTCGCCGCTTGTGACACACACAGTCTCTTGGACTGCGCCTCTTCCTTCTCCTCTTCCTCCTCCTCCTCCTTCTCCTTCCCTTCCGCCTCCCTTCCTCCTCCATCCCTTTTCCTTCTGAATAACGTCTCCCCGTCGCACTCCGAGGCAAGTTTTTAGGGAGGGCCTGGCGTTTCGCCTGAGACTTCCTCACCATTTATGATTCTGAAGCTGAAAGCACGACAGCAGTTTAACATATGGAGGGCGGGTGGTTTTCAAAATGTGGCTCTGGCTTTGGCGCCGCGCACATTCGATTTGAAGATGTGCAAGAGTTTCAGGGATTGAGGGCGGTTCGTTTTCAAAAGGTGGTTCTCGCCTTAGCGCCGCGCACATTCGTTTTCAAACTGTGCAAGGGTTTTCACGGATTGAGGGCGATTCTTTTTCAACGTGTGGCTCTCCCCTCAGCGCTGCGCGCATTCGTTTACGGAATTACAAGAGTTTCACAAATTGAAGGCGGGTCCTTTTCAACATGTGAGTCTCGCCTTAGCGCCGCGCATATTCGTTTTAAACGCTTGCAAGAGTTTCACGGATTGAGGGCGGGCGGTTTTCAAAAAATGTGGCTCTCGCCGTAGCGCCGCGCATATTCGATTTCAACATCTGCAAGCGCTTCTCGGATTGAGGGCGGGCCCTTTTTTATGCGGCTCTCGCCTTAGCGCCGCGCACATTCGTTTTCAAAATGTGCAAGAGTTTCACGGATTGAGGGCGGTCCTTTTCAAAAGAGTTTCGCGGATTCTCGTGATAGACGTACCAGAAATTGTGTTTTTGGACGGATTCACGACTGAGGTCGCAACAGTTTCGATGATTCGCGGCGTCGAAGTCCCAGGAATGGCGTTCTGGTGCGATTCAGGATCGTCAAGACGTATCGGTCAAGTTTATCCGTGGCGTTGGAATGCCGAGAATAATGTTTTGGCATGTTTCAGGGTCGTCAAACGGTTGTCTTCCAACGAGGCAGGTCCCCCTGAGGAAATGAACCATTGTAGGGGCCTATGAAGAGGGAGCTTTGGGGGAGGGTTTATTCCAACATCGTTGGTTCGGCGCCACCCCAACATACTTCTACTATATGTGCGTCGCGCCCCAGGGGGCGACGCGCGCACCGAGAAATCTTATAGTATATGCGTCGTGGCGGGCGCTTTCTGGCCACACCGCTCGGGAAACGATATACGACACGATGGGCATACGGTATGTTCGGGTCGGACGCGCGCCTCCGTGGAGGGCATCTAGTATTAGTATGTCTCTGTGCGTTCCATTGGTGACTCTTGGGTTTACACTGGTCATCTCTCCTCCTCCTCTTCCTCCTCCTCCTCCTCCTGACCTGGGGGTTTAGGATCCTGCCTGTCTGCGTCGGAGGTGATCGGGATCCTGTGGGACCATGTCGTCGAGCACCAGACGTGGTTCGGGGCGGCCCCGTATATCGTCAGCGGCATCCAGCTGCTGCCGATCATTCCGGCCATGGAAAACTACCTCGATCCGGACTCCACCGTGAATCGGTAATATCGAATTTGATACGGAAGGAGTGGTAACGAAGACGAACAGCAGTTCCTGCCCATGTTGAACAGGACTCGCTGTCGGCGTC